TTTTTCCAAATCAGCTATTTTTCATTCTTTATTTTATTATATTTTATTTTAGTCACAGTTCAAAGCACAAACGTAAATGCAAACATGTTGTTCATGAAAATGAGTATATGAACAAACGGAAAAGTTTGGGATTTTTAGGCATAATATTGGCTCCATGACGAAAATAGTATGTGTAGAACCACCGCTAAATGTAAATTAGTGATCCCTGACATGGTCAGGGATTTTCATATTCCATCCAGGGAACTATTCACCTATCTGAGACTAAAGAATATCATACAGGAAAGCAGGATTATCTTGAAAGAGTCTAATCTCATATCACCATTCGTACATAAATGTACGGGGAAGCTTCCCAAAGTGAAAGCACTATCCCTCTGCTACAATACACTTCTTACACAATACACGGCAACAAAACCCTCCTATATGACAAACTGGGAATTGGACCTGGGACTGCATTTCCCAGTAGACACGTGGAATCGGGCTCAGAAGCTAACAAAGCAGGCCTCACATAGCCTTAATCAGTGGGAAACGTATTGCAAACTAACCATGCGCTGGTACCTGGTCCCCAACAAACTGGCCCACATATATCCAGGAGCGAACAAACTGTGTTGGAGATGTCACAATCAAGAGGGGTCCCTTTACCATATATTTTGGAAATGTACACAGATCACATCATTATGGCAAGACATCCACACACTTTTTTGCAAAAACCTAGGGATCGGGGTACCTCCGACACCAGAATGCTTTTTATTACACATCTTCCCAGACAACCTCCACGAAGAGGAAAACTATTTAATGATCCACTGCCTCATGGCAACTAAAACTGCGATTGCCCAAAAGTGGAAATCCACACAAGCTCCCACGTTATCAGAGATTTTAGGTAGACTAGATTCGATTTATAATTACGAGCGCATGGCAAGTCGCATCACTGAGAGGCAGAGTAGACATGAAACAAGGTGGCGCAGATGGGTGGATTATAGGTATGGTAAAATGTAATTGAGATTATGTACATTAAATTTTCCAAGGGCTTCTATGTAAAGAGGGCTACCCATTGTAACATCTTTTCACCACGATACAATACAAATTTTACTGCCATAGCACAACTTCGCTAATCCCCCCACCCTTCTCTTCCCCCTGCCCCAGAGGCCTCACAGTTAGGGCGTACGGAAACAATTTAGTGCCTTAGAACGCTCCAGGCAAACATGTATATGTAACTACTAATGTATGTAATATATTCCGAAGCTGGTGACTTGTGGCTAATATCTTATTCTATGTACAGCTGTTAAAGATACTTTTGTAAGATTATGATACATTGTATATGCATTGTCACCCTCCCCCCCCCTCTTTTTCTCTCCGTGTACCCCCTCCTAAGTTAATCCCCTTTTACACTATGCATGACCAATGAAAACTGAAAAATAAAATACATTGAAACAAAAAAAAAAATGTAAATTAGTGACTGCATAGAAAAAACAGGGAGAAACACCTTTTAACGGGATAGGGTGAGGTTGGCAGTAATGGTGCCGAAATTATGGGTCAATAGGTTGGAAACTCGTCAGAATATTCTAGCCACAAATATCAACTGGCTGTTTGTGAATACAACAGCTTACGGTTGATATTAATCAACCACATTGGAAACAGGTCCCTAGTGACTAATCTCCTAAGTGACAATAGTGTTAAGGTTTGGGAGTTGTGTTTTGAGATGACGCCACACACCATCACTGCTAAAGGAAAATATGACACAAAGCACTACCCTAGTTATGGAGTATCAGGTGATTAGAGGAAACATTAGAATGTTAATTAGGAGCAAGCTGATTACAGGATTTGTGGGAAGCCATATGGGAAAAGTCATATGTAACCATCAATCCTTTTTGAAGCACATGTACATTCTAAATCTCCGTAATCAAAGTCTCTTGTACTGAGAATTGTGCTTTTTAAGTGTTTTCAGGTTTAACTACCTCTTGAATTGAATAGCACTGTCTCCAATCTCCATATAAACTTGTTTTACAGTAGATATATTTATAAACAGTGTAATCTGACAATGACGGCTCAACTGTGTTAAACATAATAGTTCTTCAGCGAAGCTTACTTTATATTCCATGTAAATTATGTTATCTCATCGCTGGGAATATATATTTCAACAAACATTTGCCCACATCATTGGCAAGTTGCTGTCTCGCGAGTCTTTACTATTTTTGCTTATATTCTGTTATTGCTTGGTTTCTTTTGGTTTTGAACTCATGATTTTAATTCCCTATGGGGGAAACACAAATTAGATTGATTTTATTCCAGCATTGTAAACCAGGAATTTTCTTTTTTCTTCATGCTATTAGAAATAGACTGTTCTTTAGCTGAAACAGTACTTTTGTTTTGTTTGATCTGGACTTTATTGAAAGACCTAAATTTGCAAGCTGGACAAAAGTGGAAAGTGGTGTTCCTTTAGGGGTCTGTTTTGAGACACACTTCTATTCTACATATTTATAAATGATCTTGAAGTAGGTTTTGAAAGTCATGTCAGATGACACAAAACTAGGTAAGGGAATACAATATGAGCAGAATATTACTTAGGATTTAGATAGAGGACTCAAATGGCACATGAAATTTAATGTAGATAAATGCAAAGTTATGCACTTTAGATTGAAGAATGCACAAGCTAGCAAGATTTCAATAGAAATCAACCATTTTATTATTGGGGGCACAAACACCTCCCTGTCTGTCATTTAGGCAGCCAGGAAGGATTTCTTCCCGTTCCTTTAGTTCCACTGAGCTAACAGAAGAGCAAGACTGGCTGTACTAGTGTGTGCCTACCTTCCACCTTTCTCAGTGAACTGAACTAGAGCTTAATGGGAAACATAGGAAACCCATGATCAATAGTGCATGCGCTTCCTTGCAGCTCCAGCACAGAGGCTACTTCTCAATGAGAAGCCTCTGATTGGAGTATTACCTGGCATAGACTAGGGCCTTGCAGGAAAACATGCTGCACAAATAAAAGCATATTTTCTTTGTGGGTATCTCAAAAAAATTGTTAAAAAACCAAAAACAAACCTTGTGGAATGTTTCCTTCTGGTGACGCAATGGAATTGAGGGGGCAGCAAAATGGATATTTGCCTAGTGCGGCAGAATTCCTTGCACCGACCCTGTTGGCAGCCCATTTCCATAAATTGTAAAATTTGCAAAATGTTTGTACTTAATATAGTTGCTATTTCAAATATATACATTTTTCTCTGCCCCAGGCTTTCCTTGATTCTCCTCTGCCACAGGCTACCGCTGCTTCTCCTCTCCCAGGCTCCCCCGTCTTCTCACCGTGTAGATAAAGAGACTGACACACATAAAGATACACAGACACACACACTGACACACATACAGAAGTACAGAGACACAGATACAAACACTGCCACATATGAAGATACACATACAGCTGCACGGACACACTGATACACACAGATGTACAGACACTGATACAAACACTGCCACACCTGCAGATACACAGACATACATACAGTTGCACAGACACACTGGTACACACACAGATGAAAACACTGAAAAACATACAGTGACACAGACACACATAGATACCAGCACACAGAAACACACACTGACACAAATACCGATAGACACAAACACTGCCACCCATGCTGATACACAGACACACCGATGCAAACCCTGACACTAATACAGATGTACAGACACACAGAAACAACCATTGCCACACATGAAAATAAACAAGCACACAAATACAAACAATGACGCACACTGACACACATGCAGATACATAGACAGATAAAATCAACAAGGCATATACAGATACAGACACACAGGTACAAACACTGATAATCTCAATAGGTTGACATTGACTTTGAATATGCATCTTTAAAAAGTGTGCTTCCAGGATGATTGATAGAATCTGTAATAATGAAAAATTGATCTGCATTACTCCAGCAATACTGATTGAGCACAAAGCAGTTAAGCCTTCATGAGGAGGAATCTTGAGGGTTTTATCTAGAACAGCCGAACAGCTTTGTCATTGTATGAATCCTGTAATGGCTCTAGTCATGAAGGAATAAAGGATTACGTAAATTGTAATTCTTTACTTGGTTTTTCATAGGCGTAGTACTGCACATAGCTCAAAACAGCCTTTACAATGACGCTGGTATGAATACATAATCAATAGGCCGTACAGCAACACAAAATGTTACATAACTCTGCTGGCATATTGGTTAATATAAATTTATTTACCAGTGCTCCTTGTACTGTAAGCTCTACCAGCGTCCACACTTCAGACATTTAGAGTAGTTATAGTGAGCTTATATGAAGAAATCTTTGAGGTGTGCTTACTGAAGTTGCAATTTTAAAACCACACTTCCCAAATGTACCTATTTAGGAAGGACTGTCCCTATTTTGGGCCCACATCCTTCTTGTTGGTGTATCGGAGTGCATACCAGCTCCACAGCAATAATAGTCACAGTAGTGTGTCCTTAAAGGAACACAATAGGCGCCCAGACCACTTCATCTCATCCCTACCCTTTGCACCCACTACAGCTGAATACCCCCTGACTACTGCCCCATGCCCTTCTCCACCCAATACAGCCCATATTCCTACTACAACCCCTGTTAAAACATACACCCACAACAGCGCCTATACCCTTTGCTCCCACTAGTCACTTTCCCTCCCCTATACCCTCTGCACGCAATATAGCTATTATCCCCTCTGCACCCACCACAGCATGTATCACTCCATCACCCATGACCACCCCCTATCCCTCTCCGGCATCATCTATACCCCCTACACATACTACTTTCCCTTTCCTTCCCTTGCACAAACAACAGTCCATTCCCCGCATACACTACAGTCCCTAACTTCCTCTGCACATTTGCTATATGGCCCAGGTGTCCACACCCAACATATTCTTTATTGTTAATAGACTAAATAGGTTGGAATCCTGATGAGTATAGATTGCCCCAAACAGTGTTATACAAAACTAATGTAGACAACATAAATAAAACTGGGCACTCTTTATTTATATTTACAGGTACAAAAAATTTTGGCAAGGGCTCATTAATCTCTACATTTTGAGGCTTCAAAATGGTTTCATTACTTACAAAATACGTATCAATTGCTGTTGAAATGTTCCTACATTGCATTATAAGTACAGTGCCAGATACCAGTTTACAGATTAAGCCCAGCAAAAACATACAATAGAACTAAGCTAACATCTGGCTAGTGAAAACAAATGGCGGAAGCTGTTTCTACACATATGCCATTTGAAAATTAAATACATATCATTGCAAATAAATGGTTAAATGGCAAGCAATATATAAAAAGAATAAACCATACACAAGCCGGGGTTTCCTAAGTTTGCATGTGTCTAGACGATTACAGCATTAGACCACTAGGGGACAAAAAGGCACTATAATGACAACATCTTATTACTACAGGATAAATGTATGAATAAACAGCAAAAAGGGCAGATGCTTCAAAGAAAAACTCCAGTTTTTATACAGACTTATTTTGTAAGGGATACATATTAGCTAATAACTCTTTTATGGCATTTCCTGGCTTACCCGTGCTCCAAGGGTAGTCTTCTCTGGTCAGAAACAGCAACTATCTGCAAAGACCATTAAAGTGCAGTTTTGAGATTCCTGATGGTTGCGCATTATGTCAGGACTCATAAATGCACACTAGCTATTGCTTACTTGCAGAGTTTTGGCAGATAAGCAAAGACCCACGATGGTTGATATTGCCGCATTGGCCTTGGGATGCAGTGGAAGGTAGATTTTACTAACTTTTAATCTGTGTGGGCAGCGACATGTCCATCCCTCATTATGTTCCTGGTGCTTCATCTTCTAGGAGCCCATGTCAGTACTGATGTCTTGCGGGATCCTCCATAGACAATGCTTGTTTCCTCACAGCCGTCAATAGTGACAGCTGGGGGAATTTAAAAAAATTTGATGGCGGTAACTTTGCCTTTTGTCAAGTGGAGGGAAAATGCATCAAACAAAGTAGTCCCTAATTTTTCTTATGATGCATTTAGATCTTTAAACTGCATTAGAATATCAATTACATTTCAACAGTCTATGTGAGCATTTCATAAAGACTTTATCATTCTGAAATACAAATTTTGGGGTGTGTGACAGATCCTCTTTAAAGATGACTGCTCCCTTAAAGGATCACTATAGGTTCAGGAACGCAAACATGTATTCCTGACCCTATAGTGTTAAAACCACCACCTAGCCCCCCTGGGCCCCCTCCTGCCTCCATAAATATAACAAAATCTTACGGTATTAAAGCTTGAAGCTGTAACTCTGCATGCTGTTTGCCTCAGAAAAACAAGCAGTCTGCTGACATCATCAGAAATGGTAGCCTGATCCAATCACAATGTTTCTCCATAGGATTGGCTGAGACTGACAAGGAGGCAGATCAGGCGCAGAGCCAGCATGATTCAAACACAGCCCTGACCAATCAGCATCTCCTCATAGAGATGAATTGAATCAATGAATCTCTATGAGGAAAGTTCAGTGTCTGCATGCAGAGGGAGGAGATACTGAATGTTTGGATGCATTTTAGGCAGCCATGACCCAGGAAGGATCTCTACAGCCATCTGAGGAGTGGCCAGTGAAGTTATCACTAGGCTGTAATGTAAACACTGCATTTTCTCTAAAAAGACAGCGTTTACAGCAAAAAGCCTGAAGGTAATGATTATACTCACCAGAACAAATGCAATAAGCTGTAGTTGTTCTGGTGACTATAGTGTCCCTTTAAAGTGTAGGTAACATTGAAGATACACTAAAAATATGTATCAACTTATAAAAATTATGACCGTTTACACAATTTAACTTTAAAAAAACAAACAAAAACTAGGTAGGATCTTTATTGCAGATTGTCTTAATGTGGTTGTGGTGTATCCATCATAAAGTGTTAAAAAGGAACCATAAGTAAAGCAGGCATAAATAAAATAGCACCTATTTAATTATTTGTAAAAAAAAATAATTTTTTTTAAACAATACGTGATTAAATTGCAATATGTTCTCATTTTCAGTAAATCAACCCCCTTAGTTGTTTTTGAAAGGATGTGTAAGCCTTCACTGATCGAACTCATGACAGTGCTTACATGTAACAGTGAATTTCTTAGCATACAGGTGAAAGAATTTATAAAACATTTGACATTTTGTACCAGTTTCTGTAACATGAGTTAAATTAAGGAGCTTTATAGAAGGATTTTAAAACAGCATTGTGAAAATTCTAAAATTGATTTTTAAGATTAAATGTCTTGCTTTTCCTGTAACCTCTGTTCACTTTAAATATTGGATATTATCATAATGCTTATCACATAGAATTAAAATTTAAAGTCATGTCATGTTCAAAATTACAAAAAAAAAAACAACCAAGGAAACCCGCCCCCCCCCCCCAAAAAAAAACCATGTCATAATCTTAACACTGGGAAACAAACTAAACAAATAATTTGAAGCTAAAAAAAAAGAACTTCTTGTATAACTCTAAAATAAATATACTTACATGTATTTCAATTAGCTTTATATAAAAAATCTGGACAATAAATCCAATAGTTATTGGATGGACTAATGCAGAATAATAAAAATCATATTTACCTGTTTAGTTTTCAATATAACGATATATTTGATGTGATTTAAAAGTACCCTAATATAAAAATGGCTTCAAAGGGTGCAATTTATTTATTAACAGTGACACCTACTGGTGAAAACTGGAATTGTTACATAGAAACATAGAATGTGACGGCAGATAAGAACCATTCGGCCCATCTAGTCTGCCCAATTTTCTAAAAACTTTCATTAGTCCCTAGCCTTATCTTATAGTTAGGATAGCCTTATGCCTATCCCATGCATGCTTAAACTCCTTTACTGTGTTAACCTCTACCACTTCAGCTGGAAGGCTATTCCATGCATCCACTACCCTCTCAGTAAAGTAATACTTCCTGATATTATTTTTAAACCTTTGTCCCTCTAATTTAAGACTATGTCCTCTTGTTGTGGTAGTTTTTCTTCTTTTAAATATAGTCTCCTCCTTTACTGTGTTGATTCCCTTTATATATTTAAATGTTTCTATCATATCCCCCCTGTCTCGTCTTTCCTCCAAGCTATACATGTTAAGATCCTTTAACCTTTCCTGGTAAGTTTTATCCCGCAATCCATGAACCAGTTTAGTAGCCCTTCTCTGAACCCTCTCTAAGGTATCAATATCCTTCTGAAGATACGGTCTCCAGTACTGTGTACAATACTCCAAGTGAGGTCGATGTTTATATCCTGCAATGTATACCATAAAGCCTCGTAATAAACCGATATGCACATATTCACAAAACATACACACTACAGGCATTTACACAAGTTCTCAAACAACAGTATTGATTTTTATTTTATTTTTTAACAATGGTATATGTCCAGATGAAATTTGATTCTGACAGCGTTATTTATTAAATTGAGAATTATCTGGAATTAAAATTTAAGGCCAACCCCTCCCCCCCCTCCCCCAAAACAAACTAGAGACATTCTACAAGTCAGATGTTTCCAGTTCTGCTACTTTTGTTTTAAATGTGAAGCTCATGTTGAAATCACTTTAAATTCCTGACAATTCTCACATTAGTGAATAACCCTAATACTGTAAAGGAATTCTTATAATTTGAATTGGTAGAGCAATTATGCACAATAATCCTGTTTTAACAAGATATAAGGTTAAACTTTTTTTCTTACAGAAATTATAGGAGTTATATAAAAAAATACAAACCCCATATTGGACCATCACCATGTCTATACTGATTATGGAAAACATTTAATCCTAGGATAGCACTATGGTAGTTGCAGGTGTTTTAATTTATTGTTAATCTCTATGCAATAGATTGGATGCTAATAGAATCTGATTAACTGCAACACCACTGGATAGTAGATTATTATTATTGCCATTTATATAGCGCGAACAGATTCCGGAGCGCTTATATGTTTACAAAGTATATTTCAAATTGTCCATGATGCCTCTTCCAAAGCCCGGAGTAGCATCATAACATGTGACATGGGTGCTAACCTATATCAGCAACTACATTGTCTGTTTTATTTAGAAAATGTTGGGCAGATGCTAAAGGTGACATGGGACCATGCTATCAGCGGAGACGTTTAACCCCTTAACGATGTTAGGACGTGCTATGCCGCTCTACAAAAGAAGGGCGTTAACGCCATTAGAGCGGCATAGCACACCATAACAATCTGGCCCTCCCGGGATCAACAATACTCACTTTCCTCACCTGATGCGATATGGGAGCCTAACAACCAATACAGTCCCCTTGCAGTAAATCTCACCCATCTGCTTCATGCAATCACTGAAGGACCAACGCCATGACTCTGAGATCGGCTGGATTACAACATTACATGTAGGGGGACTGTCTGGGTTGTTAGGCAGATCCTCCAACATAGAATTAATAAGGAAACATAATTATGGAAAATTATCTAAATGCACTGAAAAAAAATAATAATACATATAATGTATTATTACAAACATGTAATGCTGGATTACAACTCACGCAGAAAGTCCAGCGAATTTAATTTGCAAGCTCTATATTTGACCCTGGAATTTTCCAAAACATCATGCATTCTGTACATTGGGGTACTGTTGTACCAGTGGAACATGACGGCATACAAATATGTGTATTTTATTGCAGTAAACGCTAACAGTATTATGACATTCACAGTTAAAATGCCATGCACACGTTGGAAAATAACATTTCTTAATTTGTTACACTTAGTTTTAGATTTTAGGCATATTAAATCATCTTTCATATATAAATATTTGATGTGCAATGAAAGCGCTGTTTCTCTTGAACAAAATAACATATAAGAGGCGTGGGTGTGCGTAAAATGGAAGGGATAAATTATGGTTGAACAATAATATATCTCAAATTCTAGGTTTTGGTTTGGTTTGGTCATAGCTCGTACAATTGACTCCGTCCTTAAGGGGTTAAACAAACTTTCCCGTATATTGTAAACATTATGGATATATCTTATTGTGCAGTGTAAAGATTTCTGCCTTTGAATGTGAGGAAGATGACTAGTATCCTGTAGATAAACACATATAAAAATAAATCAAACAATGTGATGAGATGCACTGCACCACTATTACACCACATGGGTTTATACATTGCATCCTACAGTCTATCAAGCAGCAAATTAAAAGTATCCTAAACCTTGCAAAGGAAATATAGTAACAGTTTCATGTGTGCCTATCTGTAGAAATATATATTTACAAAAATATGCAAAAGAGTACAAATATTTAAATAAAATAAACTGGCCATCACAAAACGCTTAAAGAACACAAACTAATCTCAGGCTGTAATGGATATAATGAAAAGGAGCCAATCCAGAAAGTTGAAATGGAATAAAAACAGGCATACACAATGCTAATGTAGAATTATCTATGAGCTTTCAAATGTCCAAAATGAAACCACCAACATGCAGGAAGGGACAGAGAAGAGAAGAACGGATATCTGGCAGGTTAGATTCCATTCCATTCTATGGTGACGGACAAAAGAGATCAGATATCCATATGCAGAGAGAGTAATCCAGTTACCAAGTATCTCAGTGTAAATGTAATAAGCATAGCATACCTTAATGTATGCATACATGGCAATAGAGGATATTAGCCCAGTGGTTATTGTATCACGTTGCCTTCCAACTCTTGTGCTATTCTGTATGGATATTTGGATGGATGGATATTTTAGGTTTCATAAATGTACTTGGTCATTATAACCACTGGGTCCTTAGTCTTCAGTTTGGGTTTCCCAGATGTTTTTATGTGTTATGTTAATTCTGTCATGTACGTTTCAGACTCATATATATATTTTTTTAAATATGAAAAACAATCAGCTGCCCACACTTCTAACACTCAAAGGGTATAGGTCTGGCACTGGACATAACTAATTGAATGCACTAATAGGCAATTGACCTTTGAGTTTAGTTGCACACTACTGGACATTTAACACTACAGGACATTTAAACTGATATTTGTACTCAACAATGGGAGAAAGCATTAGATCTAAATGAAGAACCTTAACAAAAAAAAAGGGAATTCATAACTAGAATCGCATGTACAGAATATATTAAAGTTAAAAAAGTAACAACAAAAAAAACAAAACAAAAACAGTAAGACTTGGTATTCTAACTTCACCCAAAGACTTTTGTTCTCGTAAACACGATAACATTGAATGAACACTGCAAACAGCAGAACTGGAATCCAGAACTAATGAAAACCATATCTTGATAAAATCATTTACACACTGGAATTTACAACTTCAAAAAAATTCACAAGGTGAAACAATTCCTACATTTGTAAACGCTCTGTCCAGGTAAAAGGTGGACAGGATCCATCTCAATTAAGGCCTTTGAAAGTCCTTGTTTAAATACAAAATAAGGTAATGACGTGTTCTGAATTGGAGGCTTCGCAATTTAGTCACATACTATGCAGCAAAGCAAAGCTATCCCAAGATACAGACTGACTCCCAGCTCCAAGGTACATTCAAAGTTCTCATGGAAAAAACATAAAAGTGGAATCCAGGAGGAGAAAACACAAATCCTGCCGTAGCCAATTGTCAAAAGGCACACAAGGGAAATCTCATTTATATGTATACATATATATGTCTGTGACATCATATTTAACAAAATACCTCTGAGTAATGGACAGAGAGTACCATAGGAGTGAGTACTGCACAGCAGTAATGACTAGGATTACAAACTCATAAAGCCCTAGGAAGGACATTATTTTGCTTTCCTGGCTCTGGTCATCAGTTTGTGGTTTTTATCCATATTAAAAATCAAACAAACCAAAGCAACAGCTGGAAAACACTTCAACACTAACATGTATCCACAAGGATCTCTGTAGATATTTTTAAGGACATCCTGATTGCCAGTAACATGACATCTAAAAATCTGAAGACTAAGTCGCAATTCTTGACTAGCTTCTCATCAAACATATGAGCCCATCCAATATGTGTTCATGATCACTAAAAATCTGAATCTGTATCCATTAGCTCTGCATCCATAAGGTTTGCCCTGGAATTTTTCGGGGGACCAACTGTCCTTCTCGATTGAGTTCCTACATTATGGGTTGTGGGTCCCGTGTGATGTGATTGAGGTGTTCTATTTGCATACAGGAACACACCATCTCGCCTAGGGGGAGGGATGAACCGAATGCTGCTCTGATCTGGAGTCTCATCAGTGGCATAAGGATGAGATATGTTATTGCTATGATGGTATCTTCTGTATCCCACATTATTATCCATGTTCTCGCCTAGATATAAATTTCCTTGGATTGGTGGCCACCTTCTGTACTCCCTGTATAATCCTGGGAGTGCCTCTTCCATGTCAGGTGCCTCTCTTGCTTTACTAATTAGACCCGGCTTTGCAGGCAACTTAGGAAGCCGTGGTACAGCGGTAGATGCACGGGCAGACAGATTATCGATGCCCCTGGTTTCTGCAACAGGGCGTATTTCTTTCTTCCTCCTCCTCTTTTTCTTCTTCATCATTTTTTTCTCTAACCTATGAGCCACGTCTCCCTCTACCAACCACATGCTCTCTCTTTCTTCAGGAGGTACTGAAAGGCAACAACATTTAAGGTTATCCCTTTTTAGAATTATTAATAGATCGAAAAATTTAGGTCACTATGAAACTTTCATTACTAATGCTATAAGAAACATTCAGCTTCAAAATAGTTCAACGTTTAAAAAAAATCAAGATTTTAATGTTAGGGACAAATGAGCTATTTATTAAGAGAGTAAATCAAGAGTTATTTATTGTTAAATGTACATAAGCTAATGTCAGCACAAACTTTCATGGAGATGAACCTATTCTATCAAAAAGACACGAGGGAGTCTTTAGAAAAAACAAAACAAAAAAATATAACTTATCAACCGATTTTTAAAGTCAAGTCAATTGGGAAAAAATATCTTAGGTTAGTTCAAACCAGACTCTTCAAGTTGGCCTATGTTAACAGGTTTCACAAATAGCTATTTTAAATGGACACTATAGGCACCAAATAACTTTAATTTAATGAAGCAGTTTTGGTGTATAGGTCATGTCCCTGCAGTCCCACTGCTCAATTCTCTGTCATTAAGGAGTTAAATAATTTTGTTTATACAACCCTAGTCACACCTCCCTAAACACTTTTTGTGGAGCAGTTTTAGTGTATGGATCATGCCTCTGCATTCTCACTGATCAATTCTCTGCCATCTAGGAGTTAAATCACTTTGTTTATGCAGCTTGTCACATCTCCCTTCATGTGACTTGCACAGTCTTCCTAAACACTTCCTAGAAAGAGAGATCTAATGTTTAAACTTACTTTATTGGACAGTCTGTTTAATTTAGAATTTCGTATCTCCTTCTCTTTTAATAGCCTTTTAGACTTAGTTCAATTTACAAAGCACAAGATGAGAACTTCTAAAGCAAGTTAACATCTGATTGAAAATTAAAAAAAAATATGCACCATGTTTTTATAAACAGAAGTAGCCTTTTTCTGCAGCTTTCCAGGTTCCTGAATGATGAAGCTCTCCTTCCTACACCCTACGTGACGAGAGAGTGCAAGAGCCCTGCTCTTCTCATTCCTGAAGTCATGGGATTCAGACTTACTATTAGCTACAGTGCTGATTCCTATTAAACTGCAGGAAGACTTGAGCTTCACATTAACTTACTCTATTGCATGCAGAATCACACAATGGAGTTGGTCAGTCAGTAGGATTTTTACAGAATAGGATACATGTTCCTGATTCCCCAACATATTTCAATCCCTCACATCTACCAACTACCAATGGCACCCACCCGTCCCAAAAGCAAACAACTGCTGCACTTTATGATACACAAACCTGTGACTGCATGAGGATTAATGTATATTACCTGGAGTTGCCACAGGAGTGACAGACACGTCTTGAGGTAAAATAGCACCTCTCCTGGCAACCATCTTTGTGACATGCTGTGCCCATGCTGATGACATGTCAGCTGATGGCTCGTTAATGTCAAAGTTTAGTCCAGCTAAAAGCAATGGGGATAAACATTGTGATTAGCCTGATTATGTAGGAAATCTGAAAACATACAATAAGTAGACACATTTTGGAAAGTTATAACAAAAAATTAAAAATTTTAACCGTAGGCGAGACATACTGTTCCATATATTCATAATATTATTTGTTAGTATGTAAGCTCAGGAACCCCTTACAAAATTTCCAAAGAGAAAAAAACACAGAAATTAAAACACATAGGTCGACTTTCTTACATAACTCCGACAACATTACATAATTCGAACATAGCTACACTGTTATAATTGGTTTGCAGAGATTATGTGACAAAGAAAAAGGCAACATACATTTTCAGATTAAATACATAAAGAAATATGATTGCTGTCTATACCTGCTATCATCATAAACTAAAAAATTGTGCTGTCTATTCGTATGCCATGTCATGCTTAGTTTGCCTGTTATCATTCTGCTTGCGATTGCTATTTGGGCTAAGCAAGCCTACTGTTATTCCATGCACAACAAAAAATAAAGAATTATATAAAGAAATATGATTGTTTTACATGTATAAGTGTTTAGTCTCTCTCATAGTACACTTCATCCATGATGTTGTCTTAATTGACCATCTCCTGATCATTCTGGTGACAACGATGTCCCTCTTGTGAGCACAATTGTTTTTATTTAATCTCATATTTTTATTGTCTACTATGGTTTCAGTTATCCATTTTGTGTCTTTCTTATGACTTTCAATGTTTCTTTTATCACTTGTTCTCTCCATTACAGTTCCACACCGTCTAGAGTTTTTCCTATCCTCCCTAATATCCAAACTTGCTCTTTTTACCTGTATTTAATTTAAAAAAATGAATTGGGGGTATATCTAAATACTGCTTGCAAAAGCTGCAGGTTTTAAAAAATGGGAAAAAAAATGGACGCACTCTTCACATATTAACCACTTCAGCAAGCTAGAGGTTTAGGGATCTGGGGTGTCTCTTTAAGCAAAACAAATGGAACATTACCATTTATATAGGGATTTATATACAGCAGGAAAGCTAGTATGCATGAGCGGCAATCACCTTGCTGCGCCAATAAGAATCCCCTCACAGAGATGCATTGACTCATCTGTCCTTCAATCTTTGCAGGACTGCAACCAGGAAGACTCTTTTGTGGCTGCCCGAGTGACAGCCACTAAAGGTGGCATTAGGCAGCAATGTAAACACTACTGAGTCAGCAGAAATCTTTTTGACCCAGAACAAAAACATTAAGCTGTGCTTAGAGTGTCCTTGTAAGCAAGGATAAAATATTTAAAAGGGGATTTTTTTTTGTCACAGTTTGGTTATATTTTTTGCAATAATTTTTTAACTAGTGCAACTAGTTATAAAAATAACTCCAAGTAGAATAATTCATTAGTCCTTATTGTTAAAATGAATTTAATTTTTTTTAAGTTATAGGACAAATACTGCAACAAATTAATAATTTAATTATTGCTAAACCCTTGCAAAATTAGGTCTGCTGAGACTAAAACCTCAACAGCAGTCTCAAAATCTAAAACGCACGACACAAAATTATATATTTGTAAAAAGCAGAACCTGTTAGTTTTCAGGGTTTGTTACCAAAAGTGCTCCACTGACAACAATGTACACTATACGTTGTATGTCATTAAGGGGTTAATATGAGGATATGACAACACATGAAAGAAACTATTACAACTGCTAACAACAAGAGGTGACGAACTTGCAAGATACAACCATTGTCTTGGGAGCTTAAGGAATTGCGAAACCATTTATTTAATGAACATATGCATGACTTATTTTCTTTCTTTACTAAAGGGACATGCCACTGCCAAACTAAAAATAAAACCATAACTAAAAATCACTGTTTAGCAGTTATACCCTAAAAAAAAACCATGCATGCATTTAATTATGCATTCTTTTGTTGGGGGTATTTCTAAAACAGCTTGCAAATGTTGCAGGTTTCTTGTCTAAAGTCTTTACAAGCCATCCCCATCTAACCCCGCCCAGACTTTCTGTGGCTGTCCAATCACAGACTTCCCAATGCAGCTCAATGAGAAGTCTTTGTAAGGCAGGTGCTCTGAGTGATTGCTGCCTCTTGAGTTTAGCTCCACTGAGCTAATGAAAGCAGGAAGTAATAGGATCAGTTGTCTAATTGACAACCAGGGGGATATAACAAGGTTAATTTATAAAAGTGACAATTTCAAATAAAATGTGCATTTTTTTGTGAAATGAAAGAAAGAGGACACTCTTCACACATAAAGCACTTAAGAAAGCTGAAGTGCTTTAGAGGTCTGAAGTTCCCTTTAAGTATCTAATCTTCAACAAAATTATGTTTAAGAGAGACCATAAATTGTTGTTCATCAGACATCATATCAAGCAGGCTAGACTCACCCACAGGTCCTTCATGGGACACAGTGTGAAGGCTGAAGGAAAGCTCCCTTTCTGGGTTGTTCAGCAATTCCTTTCGCTTTGAAAAAGCTTTTGCAATCATTTTACTCTTCTTGATTCTCTTTGGTTCATCGTCGCTGCGTCCCAGAATCCTTCAGGAGGAATGTGTTAAGAGTTAGATAAATATGTTACTGCTATTGGGAATAGGAGATCATCTAAAACTAGTGGTTTATCTGCTGCAAAATTTAAAAAAATTGCTGTCTTTTCATGTATTGTAGAGGTGTTCAATCAAAATGTTACCATGAGAACCTTTAAAATAATTCTGTAGATCTATATTATATGTCTCTTCAATTTTACATCATAGGAAGAGAAAATATAGTCAAAAGACACAACTGTGTTATACCAGATTTATAAAATTTTTAAATTTAATAAAATGTACATAATTTACACATTTCTTGTATTTTATAGCTCTTTGTATATGTGTGTGTGTATATATATATATATATATATATATATACACACACACACACACACACACACATACACACACACACAAACACCCATATTTATCGTATTTATAGCCTCATTTATAAATCTCAAGTCTCACCTGCACCATGCCCTCTTCCAGATTATAATGGTGGCCTTCGTCCACACCCATGTACTCATGGCTATGCCTGTACCAAACATAGCAAACAGATTGATCTTTTCTACCAGGAGGCTAGGTTTGTTCTTGATTTCACATTCTGGGATTGGCTTGTTAGTCTGGGCTGCGATAGTCACATTGGCTTCACAGCTGGAGGATGACAAAAGTTGTCAAAGGTGTCAAGAAGCCAATTAAGGTCAAAACACTACAAAGAAAATTGTCACTACAAAGAAAAGAACTAGACGTTACTAAACATCTACACAAATATAGAAAAAGCATTAAAACAAGCCTTGTAATGGTAGCGTAAAGATTTACTGCAAGCACCATGAATACTTCAGTGATTTGAAGTGGTCATTGATCCAGTATATGCAGCATTTTACTAAGAAATGCTGAAAACACAGAGTTTATCACCGCCTATGAAAAATGTAACTCCACCTGGCAGCGTAATTGGGGCATCATTAGCCACATTTCTGTGTGGCTTATGTTAATTATGTGAACATTGGACCTCTGACTTCAGCATCCTTATATATCCATCCAATGGTGACACAGCACCCCTTCATCTCCTATCCTCAGATTACCCTCCTGGACATACTTCCTCCACCAACAAGGCGGAGTGACATCAGCAAAGAAGGATCGGACTTCAGGAGGAACTTGGCTTTGGCGATTGACAAGAGGTAAGCTTTATATTTATTATATGTTTTAATTTTGGGTGGGGGGAAGGGGTCCTGCACAGTAATAGTTACTCTAATCAAAAACAGTATTTTATGAAAACACTTTTTGTATGGAGTTTATAAAGTGTCTAATTATTTTGCTATAAAAACAAGTATTAATAAACCACTTTAAAAGAAGCCAAGGTTAAAAGTGCCAGAGTTGCTCTCAAATTGTAGGCCAAAACAGTGAAAACGTTTCCATTTCAGCTACTGTGGCCTAAAATTCGCTTTCAGGGTTATTCAGTAATTAAAAAGGAAATTAAAATGTAAGGTTAATGCAGCCAAACTGAAAGGTTAGCGGACTTGAGGGATTTTTTACAATTCAGCTATTTTTGCCTTAAAATTCAAATTCACAAGTTAAGTTGGAGACTATTTCTATAACAGCTATTTCAGACAAATTTTCCAATTGGACTTTAATTTGATAAAATTCAGAATTTAATGAATAAATATAAATATGTTTTGAAAAGATCATCACCCATGTTACTGTACACTAACCGGCAGCATAATATTACATTTGTAACGGTTACAAAATAAAATGACATACCAATTATTCAGTTTTTTTATTTATTCTAAGAGAAACAGAGCCAGGCTCCATGCAGGTATTATTAGCCATGTGTTTAATTTGGATCATTCCGTTTACAGCACTACTCACAGAACATATTCCCGGAAGCTTCTCTCCCACTCAGCCTGATTGAAGAAATCGTAGAAATGGCAGGTAAAGGTGATAAGCACAAAGCCAAATGCCAAGAATCCAAATATTCCTGAACAAAGCAGATGCATCGTTATATATATTGACAGTCTCACACTTTTTCACTTCTTGTATTAAAAAAAGCTTAGGTTACTCAACTTTGCCAAGAGTCTGAACGAAAGTTCATTCTATGTTATCTTGCACCAAATTCAGTAAGACAACACTAATATTTTCGACTGGTGCACTGGAAACATAATGTACTTATTAAAAGGGACATGCAAAGCACCATAACCACTACAGCACACTGTAGAGGTTATAGTGCTATGGAGTCTAACAATGCCATCCCATGGTTTTACTGTTATACTTTCTTGGAGCGGTTTAACAAAATTCATAGCTCTCTCTGGCATTCATAGTCCAAGCCCTGTTCAGTTCCTCTGATAATAAGGAAACTGCACTCTGGGTTAACAATTGCAAACTTATCCAAACTGGCTAAAAGTGATGAGGGGAGCAGATTAGATGTAGTAATTATGGAGCTTATATAGCCCCTTTAAAACACATTGCAAATATGAAAATAAATTATTTGTTTTGCTCTGTTCTCTATACTTATTCTTGTAAGGACACAAACCAACAAAATATAAAAAAATACGTGCATTACCTAATCGCAGCATGGTTTCATTGATTTTACTTGCTGCCTTCTCGCTTAGGAGGCCTGGGTGATTGCTTTTGATTGAAAACAGTGTCATTACACCTTTAAATGAAAAAATAAAATAAAAAAAAGTGTCATATTGAAATAAACATGGTTATTGTGAATGTTAGACTGAAACTGATATCCTCCCAGCACTGATAATAAGTTCAGTTTGCCTCAGTGCTGGTTTGTATGCTGCTGAAAAAATTGAATATGTACCAGGGCTCTGCAGAGGGACTGTAAATGACACCATTGCTCCTCTCACACACTTACAGGAACCTTTTTTGATTCAAGCCCATAAATAAGACATTATTTTTAGATTGTGGCCATATTTAAGAAGCTGCATACAAAGAAGTACCATCAGGTTCCAGAAGGGATGTGGGAAGATCTGGGTGGTGTTTAGGGACCTTATGTATTATTTTAACTGCAGGTCCTCCCTTTTTTGAAAGCAAATTTCCCTTGGAAATTTTTTATACTTAAAGTAAACTTAGTACATTATGAACTCATAAGATGGGGACGGTGTTCTAATGCTGAGGGGAAAAGAACACAAAGCTATAAAATCAATTTAAATCAACATTTTTTCACTTTTAATAAGATTTGGCTCTTCATATAATTGTCTGAATAAGAAAGCCAGCACTGAGGAGGCTCATCAAATGGGGGTAGTTAAAATAGATACAATTGTAGCTCACATTTTTTTTTTTTCAGGCGACATCTTTGATGTTTAATAATGCAGCGCTTTATTTATTTATTTTAAACATGACTCTGATCACGTTGAAAAGCTCACCTCGTATTAAGAAGTAACCACCGATGATCAGTACAAGCCCGATGGGAGCCAAGACAAAGCCGGCTCTATAACGATAGTTCTTATATCCAACAAAGCAGATCCCACTCACAGAGTCCCCATCCACCTGTTAAATGGAAGTTCAAGATTTCTAAACCACTCAAAAAAAATATACCATAGTTTGCCCCAAGATTTACGTAACATCTACACCGTTCTGTGCAAACACACCCTCTTTATAGCTGCTGAAAAATGTGCAGTGCAGCACTAAAACACATAATGTCTCATTAAGAAGTATGTAACAAAATGATTGGGCTAAGTCGATCCATCCAAAATCATATTTTTCAGTCCTGCAATAATTAACCCTTTTCCTTCACAAGTTCATGTGGGCAAACTTTAAAATGTCACACATCTTTCCCCCCTTTGAACCAGTGCTAAAGGGGAAAAGTTTGGGTCAGAGAAGGGCTCCATTTAGTAACAATGCATTCCCTCTTCTACATTTTACAGCAAACGTTGCAGGACAAACTTTATGGCTGCACTGAACAAACCAGAAAGAACATATTTTTCAGATGCTGGCTGCCATTGCAAGATACAGGATATCATAAAATCTCTAAAATGTTGAATTCCCCAATTAGTAAATTTCATTTATCATTAGCTATATATCAATGATGTGGCTTAAAGGCAAACCACCATCTTGTGTGTGTGATTCTAGGTAACTATGTGTTAATGTGTACCTGTCTAAATAATTACAGACTGACACTTGTCTTTAAAGGGTCTTGCACAAATTGTCTACTTCATTTTAGAAGTCATCTTAGAGGTAAATATCACCCTGAATTATACATGATCTTATTTATACTTCTGTCTGCATTAATACATTGTACTTGACAATATGACGTGAGATGTGTTACCTGAGCAACTGCGAGTATTGCGACAGTGAGTACGAACGGGATTGACCAGGTGACAAGATGAAAATAGGAAGTCTTCCCAGAGAGGGGCTGGTGAGTGGTACCCAGAGCCCTAAAGGATGTGTGCCAGGCGTACGTGAGCATGACAAACCAAATAACGCCTGACATCATGGAATAATACACTATGACAAAAATAATTACACAGGACAGCGTCTCATTGGACCTAGAAAAGAAAATAATGGTGATATGTAGGATTAAAAATAAAATCACAAAAAAAAAGTTTCATAACTTATGAAAGTACAAAAATAATGGACACAAAAATAAAGACATCTTTGACATGTAACACCCCATTGTAGAAATGCAAAAAAAAAAGCCACCACCAGTGCTGACACCAACAAACAATAAGGACTCACGTTGGCTCTCCCAGCCTCATTGTGCCATCCCCACGACACACAATATCCTCACGGGCACCATCCATGAACTGGGCAAGCCATCCTATACTGCCCACAAAAAAGCAAGCATTCACATAGAAGAGGATAACTGCAGGATATCGGTTAGAGTTTTTCCAGTCTGAGACGAAGGTGGCCTAAAAAAAGGGGGAGAAGACAGAAAACTTCAGCCTTTAGTAATTTATGTATTCCAGGAGATGATTGAAAACAAATGGACATCAATTTTATATATTTTAATTAGGAAACGTGATTTACTCCTCCTACACTCTGTGTGTTAAAGACTTTATTCATAGAGTTTAGTAAGCATAATTCATTAGTGAAAAAAGTGAAAGGAATCCTTGAAAAGAGGAACATGTTATATTCATTAGTAAATAAAATTGCACTCTTCCTTTTTTTATCAAATATTCAGTTATTTGTTAAACTGCACAACAGCAAGAACCTGTTTATCTTTTTTTATCTTCCGTGAATGGTGGGATTGCGGCGGGTTTATACATATATAAACATTTTGTGTTTTTTTTATTGTTCTCTAGCAGGGTTAATCAATAAAATTAGGGTTATCAGATTCACCATGTTTTCAGGGACACATAATTTTGTCATATTTATAAAAACAGATGAAAAGATTTGACCTGCAGTATGTATAATGCACATTTTGCAGGATTCTTAATTGCCGAATTACTTAATCTTATGCACCTTCTTCTGAATTTGACATACTGCAAAGCAACAGAGATACATTAAAATGCAGTTTTGTATTCTTAAAACTATTAATTTATACATCTATTTTTGAACAGACAAAGACTAACCAATGTGAAAAATGTGCAGAAAATGGTGACCGAGCTGAAAATGGCAATGTAGACGTGCATCTCGCGGTGTTCCGTCTTTGTGAAGAGAGGATTCTCACATTGGATGCCACAACCTTCTACATCCTCATACCAACTCTTGGGATTGTCTGTCCGGACTAGAGGTAAATCACATTGTCCCGAGCTGTTGAACTTGATGTTCTGCACTTCATTCTGAAATAAACAAAACAAAATTTATAATACAAAACTTAACATAACATTTCAGTACATCTTTGTTTCATGTGGTTTAGAAGTATAGCCACCAGTCTGGCTGAAAGCAGTGAAGTTCTATATGCACTTACATGAAACGTAACAGTAACAGTCAATTGAAGCTGAATAGCAGCAGTTATGGGACTTCTCAAATGAAAACTAGGAGATACTGAAATGTGTATATATATGTATTTTGAAAATTATGAGATTAAACATTAAAATGTCTAGAGCAAAGTAATTTATTAATATCTCATGTAAATATTTATTTTATGACATTTAAATGGTTACTCCAACCTCTTGACCATTTCTGCTTTTAGTGATGACATGCAGGGCATGAAATGTTTTGCCTGGTGCTGGATTACAGGTAAGTTTAAAAACAAAATGAATGGGTTTTTCACTGAAAAAACTTGAAAAAGTTAAAAGGTATTAGAGTAAGCTGTAATGTACTATTTTTGCATTTGTTAGCAGCTGAATAGCTTTACTATTAACAGTAATTAACAGTTATCTCTTGCAAAAAATATACTATCAAACAAGCATCATGACTAATTTGTGCGTGCTGGGTGTAACATTTTAGCACTTGGGTGGCCTACTTAACAAGAATTTGAAGCAAGCAATACACATGCCATATTTAAACAGATATAAGCCAAGAAAAATTGTATTTGTATAGAGCCAAGGAAAATGCATTTGTACTGAGCTGTATAACATTCAAAAATATTAGCACAGATAGTCTGATTTAGAATATTATGGCTCCTTGCTTCCCAGGAATTTTTCCAGTTTAACATTCTATCCTACAAACACAGAAAGCACATGATCTCACTCCCGGCATAACTATTCCTGGCAGGAAGACACATGGGCAAGAAAGGCTGGCAGACAAAAGACAGGTAATGAGATCACTGTTTTGGGCATCAAAAATTAAATGCAGTTTTTATGCTCCTGTCAATTTAACCCCCTGGTGTGGCGACAAGGGGGTATGGCATAAAATCCTTTTATATCAGGACAGTCGTGGCAAGCTGTCTCTTTACAGTATCCAAAGCAAGCATTGCCTGGTGATACTTACACAGCAAGTAAAATAATAGGGCACAAAAAACAACGCAAGGTGAATCAAAGAAGATCATGAAATACAACATATTCCACAGCGCTGTACAATAGGTAAACAAACCAAACACTAAATTTTAACAAAACATGTCTGACTTACTGAAACAGTAGGTGAAGAGGGCCCTACACAAATGAGATTACAATCTAAAATGAAAAACACAAACTGCAGAAGGGTATGGGTGGAGACTGAAAAGAAAAAAAACAAATGAGTGATAAGAAAGCAAGGGATGTAGTGAGGAAGAGATACATTCTTAGAAGACGTAGATGTCCATCAATGTATCCATCTTGGTAAATTCTATAACTGCTTTTCCTGCCGTTGGGAGATTTTCCATGAACCTACTACCCCTCCTGTAAAGTTAAGTTCCTTTCAGTTTCCACTGAGTTTGCCATCCTCCCACCTTGCACTTCTCTCTCTCACAGAAACATGATTCCTTTCTGAACTTTTCTCAATCCATTAAAGAAATGAAACAGAATTACGTGTGGACCAAGTATAATTGCAGGCATCTCTGATGCTTTTTCCTTTCCCATGGCTCCAAACTATTCAAGTGGCAAAACGTTTGAGGGGTGTGGGTTTACAGAATATTTAGGCGACTACTAGCTCTCTATATAAGTGGAAATGGGTTTAAACAGGACTTAAATAAACAAACTAATTTCAAAACACACACTATACCAATAGTGGAACTAAGGGCTCGGGTGCAAGACTTCTATGGCCCCCTACCACTCCAAACAATTAACTTCTAATTCCCCACTGCCAAATAAACAACTCTAGAGTCCTACATCCTTAATGCCAGTTCACCTTTTCCTTCCACAATTTAGACTGCCTAATTTCCCTTACAATAAACCCTCTCTTTGCCCAAAGTACATTTTGCCACATTTGCCTGTCTATGAACCTTCTCCGTCCCCAAATTAGATTTTGCCATATTTACTTTCCCACTCACTATCTCCCTTCCTGATTTGGATTGGTACATTCCCTGCCAATTAACCTCCTGCCTCCTCCTAATAGGTGGCCATATTTCTCTTCCAAAGAACTCCTTCCATCCCCCCAAATAGATCCTATTCTCCTTGCTACCCAGACACACAGCCGCCACTGGGGAGGGCTCCTTCCTGTGCTGCAGACCCAACGCTACACCCAGAGCAGATTGAAACAGTTGCTTCCTCCATCGTCATTGCTTCTGCTGCTCACTGGATCTTGCCTGATAGTAAGAAACCTGGGTGTGCGCTCACCTCTGCTGGGGCCTTCTGCTTCTTTTGTGTATCTGCTCAGTCTGGTTGCTAAGCTGCCAGTACTTAGCTGTTTCCAGCACCTCTGTATGGGCATATTCTTGTACTTCCGCAGCACCCAGGTTCTATCTTTGATCTTTCCACCTCTGTTAAATTGATCCGGCTTACTAACTTCCTTCCGTGCTGTCTTTATCTTGGCTTCCAGTCGTAGGCTCTATGGTGGGCATTGCTTCTCTTTGAGCCTGATCTTGTAGTCAAGTAACTGTAGGACCACTAATGCTGTGGCATATATGAGCCCGTTGGTCTCTGTGATGGTGCAGGTTGGGATTGTGGACAATGCTTCATTAACTGCAGCTAGTATGCTGTCTGGAGGTAGCTTTCCAGTGATCTTCGGTAGTCTTGTTAAATTCAAAATGTGTGCACCCTGGAGAAGTTCTGAATAAGGGAACCAAGAACCATTACCACTACAGGTTAAACTACTGATTGTTGTTAAATGGGTCTTTTTGGTGCCATCCACCCATTTTCTGTCAAACCATTTTCAAGTGGTTAAAGGAGCACTATAGGGTCAGAAATACAAACATATATTTCTGACACTATAGTGTTAAAACCACCATCTAACGCTCCCTAAATATAGTAAAATCTTACTTGTATTCAAGCCTGAAGCTGCTGGCTCTGCCCCTGCCTGCCTCAGAATAGCAAGCTGTCTGCTGACATCAAAAGAAGTGTTGTTCTGAGCAATCACAGTGCTTCCCCATAGGATTGGCTGAGACTAACAAAGAGGCAGAGTCAGCACAAGTGAAACACAGCCCTGGCTAATCAGCATCTCCTCATAGAGATGAACTGAATCAATGATTGGAGGAGATACTGATATGTTGTGATGCACACTAGGCAAGACTGAGATAGAAAGCAGCTCTAGCAGCCATCTGAGGAGTGGCCAGTGAAGTTATCACTAGGCTGTAATGTAAGCACTGCATTTTCTCTGAAAAGACAGTGTTTACAGCAAAAAGCCTGAAGGGTATGATTCTACTCACCAGAACAAATGCAATGAGCTGTAGTTGTTCTGGTGACTATAGTGTCTATTTAAACAAAAAACTAGGGTTCATCTTGCACACAAAGTTTTTCTCACCTCCAGATATGTGTTTGTTTACTGTTCAAAGCTGTCCAACCTCAGGAGGCAAGAATCGGCTTTAAGAAATAGATTCGATTTGCCTAGTGTTCACAATCTATCACTGGTTGAATGGCTTTGAATTTAGCGGCAGCCAAAGACCTAGGCTCTGTGTAATGGGACCAGTCTGGTTTTGTCAAACAGCTCAAAAAACAAATTGACAAAGAACATGGGATACTACCCAAAAACTCCATGCACCACAACATTCAGCAGTAGCGGTTACTTAGTGTGCCCATTCAATGGACCATGACTGGGTGAAGCCATGGGATAAACTAGTTCAATCCAGCCATGAAAGAAACTATTTGATAGGTTTTACCTAAAGAACTACATGAAGTTTCACAAAGCTGCATCAGATTCTAAATCCTAAATTGCATATGATTCTGCCATCACTAAATTCACTGCATCACTTCTACAAGAAGGATTGCCAGAGTTATTCACTAATCCTGCATTTTTGGGAACGAACAAGAGAAATCAAAATTTGGGAAATACTATACAGCTCAGCTAGTTTCCAACGCATCTATTTTGAACTAATTGTTGAAATTCCCTTATCGGTTCCTGTCAATCTGCAATCTAATCTGTACTGTTTTTACTTGTGGGTGGTTCTAATATTGTCTGTCTATTTAATTTTCACTTCAAGTCTGGATACATTTTACACTAGAGATGTGTTCATTTATTTGCTTGCTTACGTAAGTAGATATTTTGGTGTTCTGGTGTTTTGGTGTTATGGTTGAATAAAAGCCTGATTTCTTATGGCTCTTAAACTTGTTCACAGTGCGTCCTTTCTCAGGGACATTTCATAAAAACAGTGTCCCGCTTCTCTCAAAGAGAGTGTCACTAGAATGCCCCACATTTATTAATATAAGGTGTCTAAAGGGGAGGCAAGACTAAGACAGTTTAAAATACACTGTAAGGCACTTGAACTTAGATTGATATGTAGAAATAAATGTAAAATAGCAGTTCCAAAATTATAATTTAAAGGCGCACTCTGCACACCATAATCACAGCATTAGAGCAAAACCCAAGGCCTTTCCTAGTAACCATAGGCCTGGCCCCTCATTAGCCACAATGTTAATTCCAAATGTATCCTTCATTACCAATAATTTATGTCCAATCAACACAAGTTAGATAAATGATCCAAATCTATCACTGCACCTGGGTTGAACAGCATTGATACTGGTTATATGAAGTATACATTTTGCATTACCACTGCTGATAGAGAGGGTCTGGCTGCATCTACCAGAGAGGACCCTTTTTTTTGGTTTTGTATTTATAGAAAACTGATTCCAAAATAGCTAGAACCGCCTCCCCCCTTCCAAAACATGAGATAGGACCAATAGCCTCTCTGCACTATAACCACTACACTGAGATGTAGGTAATGGTGCTTCGAGTGCACTTTTAAACATTAATTATCAATTGTTACACCTATGCCATATTGTTCAATAGCAATCTGTCACAAAGTTTAGAATTAATGTAAACATTTCAAGATAGGAATTTGTCACTTGTTAAATGGACAAGCTATATACCTTATCTTAAAGGGAAAACAAACCTGTTTTCCTGGCACTGCAGGATCCTGCAGTGCCCCCCTCCCTCCCACCAGTGGCGTATTTAGCTCTGTTCCCTTGCCCGCCGTTTGCTGATGGCGCAGGAGCCGGAATATGACGTCATATTCCGGCTCCTGGCTTCAGTAGATGGACCGCGAAGGAGCAGAGCGGGGAGGTGACAGCTCCCTCGCCGCCTCGCATGTCAATACAGCCATACACCTCACAGCAGCCCCACTGGACCCTCAACAGGTAGGAAGGCTGGGTAAAACAAATGTATTATTATAATAATAATTAGTGAGTGTGTGTTTCTGTGAGTGTATGAGTGTGACTGACTGAGTGTGTGTATGAGTGTGCATATGAGTCTCTGTCTGTGAGTATGTGTGTGCATATGAGTGTGTGTTTGAGTGTCTGTCAAATCAGCGAGAGTCTGTTTGTCATTGAGTCTGTGTTTGACTATCAGTGTGTCTGTCAGTGTGCATGTGTGTGTCTATCAATGAATGAGTGCATATCAGATCAATGAGTCGGTGTTTGTCGTTGAGTGTGTGTGTGACTGTCAGTGCATATCTGCCAGTCTGTGTCTGTTGGGGAATGTGTGTGTATCAAAACAGCGAGTCTGTGTCTGTCAGTGACGTTTGTGTGTTTGTCATTGAGTGTGTGTGTGTGTTTGTGTGTATTTGCCAGTGTGTGTCTGTTAGTGAATGTATGTATGCCTGTCAGAGTGTGTGCTTAAAAGAACACTAAAGACACCCAGACCACTTCAGCTTATTGAAGTGGTCTGGGTGCAGTGTCCCCTTTAACCCTGCAAGTTTAATAATTGCAGTTTCTCAGAAACTGCAATAATTACCTTGAGGGGTTAACTCCTCCTGGGTGGTTAGGCAACCAAAAGTCGCCTAACTGATGCTGGACGTCCTCACTCTGTATATGAGGACATCCAGTATCTGCTAAGTAAATCACCATAGGAAAGAAATGATACAATGCTTTCCTATGGGGAAGCATAATGCAAGCGCGGAGTAAGAGCCTGAGGAAGCGCTGAGGGAGATCGGCGCTGGATTTAGGTAAGTGACTGAAGGAGTTTTAACCTTCAGTGCCGAGTAAGGGGGCACTATAGGGAACTATAGTGCCAGGAAAACTTTCCTGGCACTATAGGATCGCTTTAAAAGGGTGGAGTCTAAAGAGGAAGGGGTGGGTTCTTAATCAGGAAAAGGTGCGGCCTTGACCAGTAGGGGTGGGTTAAAATTAGATTAGGGGGGTGCCCAGGTTTAGTCATGCCTAGGGCAGCACCAAACCCATGTTGCTGATAACAGCTACTAGAGGACCCTTATCAAAACTGCAATAATTACACTTGCATGGTTAAGGATGATGGGAATTGGCACCCAGACCACTCCAATGGGCAGAAGTGGTCTGGGTGCCTGGAGAGTTCCTTTAATGTACTGGTTTTGGTGCACAGAACCTGTCTCTTTTCTCTGACAATGCAAAACATTAGATGTATGGCAATGTTTACATTTGTCAGAGAACACAGACAGCCAAGTTTAATAGCTTTTATGTATTTTTATAATTTTGAAAAGGGCAGTGGCAGTATTCTAAAGAAAAACAATAATTAAAATGAAGCCCTTCAAGGACCACATGATAATCTATACTATCATGCAGGGAAGGGCTTTTACACAAGTGAAAGCTGCATACAGCCCTTTAATTCACCATGGCTGCACTCAGCCCTTTAAATCACAGCTGCTGTACAACTACATTATTTGTTCATAATTCTAGAGGATTCTTGGCTTGAAGGATACAGACTAAGACCTCCATGGTCTGAAAAAAATCCTGGTAAGGTCTCCCTGTCAACAGTCATCAGTGTTGGGTACTAATCACTGTGTGAATGCAGGAGCTACAGCATTAGACGGAGATCTCCCTGTTATGCTGCAATCACACAGTACAGATGGCTCACAGAGAAATGTCTCTACTGATATCAGTAGTGATGCCAGAGAGGGTATGCCTATGGTAGGGTTAGAGTTAGTCATAGGGTTCCTGTTAAAGGAAGGGTTAGCATTAGTCGTTTTATGGTTAGGCATAACCTTGGTGTTAGAGGTAGAATTAGGTTTAGAAATAGCACCAAATTATCAAATCACATCCCTATTAAAGGGACACTATAGTCACCAAAACAACTTAAGCTTAATGAGGCAGTTTTGGTGTGGAGATCATGCCTCTGAAGGTTCACTGCTCAATTCACTGCCGTTTAGGAGTTAAATAACTTTTGATTCTGTTTATGCAGCCCTAGCCACACCTCCCTGGCTGTGATCGCATAGTCTGCATGAAAACAAAATGGTTTAATTTTCAATCAGATGTAATTTACTTTAAAAGTTTTTATCTCCTATTTTGTAAATTGAACTTTAATTACTCACAGGAAGCTACTCTGGGTAGAGCAATCTATTAACAGAGCAGGAGATAAGAAATGCTAATTAAAGCAGAATTGCAATAAAGGAAATGTAAACATTAGATGACTGTTTACAGGAAGTGTTTAGGAAGGCTATGCAAGTCACATGCAGAGAGGTGTGACTAAGGCTGTATAAACAAAGTGATTTAACTCCTAAATGCCAGATAATTGAACAGTGAGACTTCAGGGGAATGATCTATACACCAATATCTATACACCAATACTGCTTTATTAAGCTAAAGTTGTTTTGGTAATTATAGTGTCAATTTAAGTAAGATAAGAGTCATATCCAAGTAAGTGCAGTTCTGTTATTTGACTATACAAGTTCCTCAAACTCCAGACAAGGTTTACATGTGGGTTATCATCATTCTTGAGAACACTAGCAGAATGCGAATATTGAAATATACTTATACAAATACTACTTTACAGGATCCTAATGCTTTTTAGGATGAAAACCAGGAAAGCACAGTTTCACAGAGTCCAAGGTTGTGGAGGATTTGAAAAAGATAAGAGTGGCCATGAGTATTAAAAGCAGCACAGAGGTCGAGGAGAATTAAGACAGAAATTACCTTGAGATCCGGCATAGATTAAGTCTTTAGTCACTTTGACGAGGGCCATTTCAGTATAGTGGAGGTAATGGAAGCCAGATTTAAGAGGATCAAGAAGGAACTACTCTTAAAATTGTAATCCGAGCACGTCAAATTTTGCAAAGGTTTAGCTTTCAAATTATAATTCACTCCTTGCAGTATCGGTTTTATAACTTCCAAAAAATAACTGAAATCCTAGATATATTGAGAATTTTCACAATCGGGATT